AGTAAGCCTGGCCTGCGTGGTTAACACAACAAAGACACAGGCGGTGCTGAGGGACCTTCCCTTATCTGGGGAGTATTCAAATATTCCAGGCAAAGTTGCTCCAGGATTTTTGGGCTTTAATTGAGTAATTCTGGGTCTTTTCAGTGGACTTTCCTGGCATTTTTCTCTTTCCACCCCGCTCATACCTATTTTCCTGCCTAACAGATGGACTGAATCTCTCCACCCCTTGCAAACACCTATTGGTATGCAGATGCACCAAAGCCAGGTGAGAGATTGTGAAAATATTGCGATTTCACTCACAGTCACAACGAACATTTTTAATATTTTAAAAAACAGCATTAACTGTTTTCTGTGGTTTTAGTTACTCTTAATACTTTTGTCCCTAAGCTTTTGTAGTAGGGCTAAAAGTGATTTATGTACCACTATTACTTCATTACATTAATGTGTATCTCTCTATATATGTGACTTTTCTAGTGATATTTATACATTCATATGCTTTTATCTTGGTTTGGTGTCTGATAATAATTTGGGGAAAGTCTCAGTCATTATTCCTTCAAATATTTCTTCTTTCCTTCTTTTCTTCTCTTTGAGTATTTATATTACATGTATGTGATCATTTTTGCAAGTGTCCTACTAGTCTTAGTTGTTCTAATTTATTTTTTCTGGTATTTTTTTCTTTTTATTTCCCATTTTGGAGGTTTCTGCTCAGACATACTCAAGGTCTGAGATTCTTTCCTTAACTTTGTCCAGTTTACTAATAAGTTCATTAAAGACATTCTCTTTTATGTATGTTTTTGTCTTTGTTGGTGCTTTTGATCTGTTGCATTTCTTTAAGGTTCATTCTTAAGTATTCTTAAACTTAAGGGGCCTGTCCTGCACCAACTTTTCTTGCATACTTTCTACTTTAGAATCCTTGAATAGGACTAAATGTTTGTGTTAACTTCAAATTCCTATGTTCATTTTCTAACACCTAATGTGACAGTATTAAGAGGGGAGGCTTTTGGGAGGTAACTCAGTGATAAGGATGCATCCCTCATGAATGGGATCATTGACATTACAGGAAAAGTCACAGAAGCTTGCTTCCCTTTTCTCTTTGTTTTCTACTGTCTGAAAAATTATAGTATTTCCAGAACCTCTCTCCTGGATTTAGTACATCTGCATATCAATAGGCATTCAGAGGTGGAAAGAAGTATGGCTTTAGTGCATTTGCATCATTCTTCAGGGGTAGAGAGAGGTTCATTTCCATATCAGTGGGTAATTACCTGGGCAATGGAGGGCCTATATGTACCTGAGAGGTGAGGGGGAGGACTGGTTTTGCTTCTGCTGGAGCACAAAAGAGAAATGGCCCCAGACTGTTTATTTCTAAGCAATAAAGAGATTTTAAACTTTATTTCTCCCTTTGACTGATTTTGGTTTTTAGAGGTATTTTGCACTGGAATTTCTTTCCCCAGACTTTCAGCTACCATGAAGCAATGTGAAGACAAGGGCCATTTGTCAACCAGGAAGATGGCTGCAACCAGACACTGAAATGACTGTCACCTTGGTCTTGGACTTCCCTGAATCAAGTACTTGAGAAATGAGTGTCTACTGTTTAAGACAACTAGCATGTCATTTTGTTACATAGCCAAAATGTCTACGACAACCCCTTATCCTATTAAAAAGAGTTTCTTAAAATTCCTGATCTGATCATTCTAAAACCATTGCCACATCTGAATAGGGTTCCACTGCTTGCATTGTCTCTTCAAAGTGTGTTTTTGCCTTTTAGGATGCCTTGTAATTTTGTACTGTCACTGAGACATGATGAACTGGGTAAGAGTAACTGCTGTGAATGGGCCTTTTGTAACATGGTGGTGAGGTGTAGGGAGAGAGGAAGTGTTGTGTAGTCCTAGGGTCAGATCCCAGTCTCTCAGTGAGCTGCTGCCTCTGTGCTGTGAACTTCACATTTGCTTCATGACCCACCCTCTGGGACAGGACAGGATGGCCAATGGCAGCTGAGTTTGGGTGTTTTCCTTCACCCAAGGCAGTTAGCCTCTGATAATAATCCAGTAGGTTGGCTTTGATTGACTATTTCCTCCTGAGAGCAGGTCTTCCTAAGAAGTACAGAATGCTCAAAACAGCTTTCTTTCCCCTCCCCTGACAGAAGTGCAAGAATTTTTTTCTCCAATATTCATTCTGAGAACTAGTACATCTGCAGGAGGTAAACTGACAAAGATGTGGAGGCCTCCAAAGCCAGGGTCCATCTTGAGTCATTCGAATGCTTGTCCATATAGAGCCTCCAGCAATTAGTCAATTTCATTTTAGGCTTTCCTACCCAGCACTAGTTAGAGTGGCTCTTTTTGCTCATGGGTACCTATTTCTGTAAATTGTGATACGCTGTATTGTTCTTATTGTCTCTCCAACTTTGGTGGTAACAGTTTGCCCTGTGACCTGACTTCTGTTGTGAATCTCAGAAGAGTTGATGATTTTTAAGTTTATTTACTTATTTACTTGTTGTTAAGATACAGTGTCAATTTTGATGCTACTAACATGATTCAACTGAAGGGGAGACTCTTGGTCTTTAAATTTTACTTCTTATTGCTCTTTTATTATAGTCTTCAGGTTTACAATAAAATATTGCTATTAATAAGTAAAACTACAAAAATAATGTAACTATATTCCACATAATTCAATATAACATAAGTATGACTTTTATGTTACATTTTACACTGAATTAAAACCACTTTTTGTGTGATGCTCTCTCAGAGATTAACCTTTCTTAATGCATGCACACTGGGGTTGTTTCAAGATTTTCTCCATATACACAAAGTTGCTATAAACATTGCAGTACAAATATTTTGTAAACATGCCTTTTGAAAACTAAGAATGGAATTGTTGGGACATATCCTAAATGTATATTTAATTTTATGATAAACAGCTAGAACTGCATTCAAAGTATATGTAAAATTTTATATTCCTATCAAAAGTGAAAGCTGTCCATATGCAGACTTTCTCACCATATGCATGATTACTACACTGATCCAAGCTCCTATAATCTGTTCTCTACACTGCTACAATATCATCCTCACTAATATCCCAGTTTCCACTCTTCATTCAATAAGGTAATCAGACTAATCCTATGAAACCAGATCACTCAAATGCCTTCTCATATCATTCTAGATAAAATCCAATAAGCATTTTAAATGAAGCTCCCCATTATATATTTGTTGTTTTATTTCTCTAGTACATTTGAAATAAACATTTAGGTGCTACACCTATTCATCTATATCCAGCACACAAAATCCTCCCTGAGGCTTTGAAAATGTAGATTTACATTTACCTCCTATCAGAATCTCTGATATATCTAGGTAACATGCATTTGTAGCAAAACCCAAACACATTTTGTTATTATTGGAGACATAATTATATTCTTCTCTGCATTTATTAACATGAAGATGTCCATGAAAGTGGTATTTTTAAAAGAGAAAGAAAAGAATAATGAAAAATACTTTTTAGATATGTAAGTATAAAGTCTTAAAGACTCTCCTATGGAATATAAAGAATTTTATGCAAATTCCTCATGATCAGTAACATTATTTAAGTGAATGTTTGCAAGTATAATGTCCCAATAAAACTTCTCACACATTTTCTTCTATTTCATTAATGATATTTGTATAGCACATAGGATGTACTCATATAATACATTTGCATAAATATTCAAATAATATATTTTTAAGCATGGAAATGAGAAAATAAGCTTTTTCTTGTGAATATAACTTTTTAAAATATATTATATTTCAGAGCAGTTTCAGTACAGAAAAATTATCCAAAAAAAACCCTGTTTTCATATATCTACTGTCTTCCTCACAGTTTTCCTGTTTACTGACATATTGTATAGTTTAGTACACTTGTTATATTGATGAACAAATGTTACATTTGTACTAAAGTCTTTAGTGTATATTAGTGCTTACACTTTGTGTTGTACAGTTTTATGGGTTTTTATTTATGCATTATGTTACATATCCCTCATTACACTGTCATAAATAATAGTTTCTCTTTCTTAAAAGATGACATACACTCCACTTTCATAATTCATATCTGTCTTATATATATTACTGTTTTAAAACTAAATATCCTCCTTGAGGTTATCTCATTCATTGTTTTATTCTATTAATATCTTAATATTCACTAATATCAACTGCTTACTCTCTCTACTCCTAGAGTACATAATATATCACACTTACTTTGGACTATAAATGATACGATTAATTTATACAATTCAAAACAAACCTTACCACCATCCCCCAGTCAGCAGGAAGAAACATAGGGGTATAAAGTAGATTTTACCAAAAGAATAATCTAATGAGTACAAACGCAATAATCAAATTTTCATAGATCAGAGACCTACCTGAGAAGAGTTAAATTTCTGTTATGTCACTGTTCTAGAAGAGCCAAAAAAAACTAACAATAAGAATTTGGAATGAGCCCTCAAGAATTAGGAAGGAGATGACTAGATTTAATATCGTGTTTTATTACATGACCTTCTACAATTATTTGAACCTGACACTTTCTGTTGCCTCAGGAAGAACAATTAAGTTGAAAGGCCATGATCAAAAATGAGGAGACAGAAGTGTTTAATAAATGAATACTTTGAAAGAGGTAAAACTAGCCAGGCTATAAATATGAAAGCTGTATAATACACATAGCATCAGATATCCCGATGATGAAAAGCAGGGAAAACATTCAGTCAGACCACAGTGATACTAGGCAGGCAAGAGAGATAGAAACACAGGTGAATATCTAGGCAATGGACAATATATACCTGTTTATACAACACCGTGTCTCTTCTTCTACATAAATTTGACTCAACACTAACCAGTAGGAGCATTCACATTCCTTATTTTCCTGAAGGAACTAACTCTCATGTTCCAAGTTAGGATTTCAATAACCCTACAATAGGAAGGTCATATTCTCTATGAAAATATAGGTCAACACACATCATGAAGTAAAATGTGAACTTCTATTCACCTTTCATCATCTAAGATCAACTTTTTCCTCCATAATTTCCTCATGGCATCTTTCACTTCTGCATTCCTCAGTGTATAAATCAGAGGGTTGAGCAAGGGTGTTCCAATTGTATAAAACACAGCTATTGTCTTGTCTATGGGGAAGGTGGTTGCAGGGCGTGTGTATATAAATATGCAAGGACCGAAGAACAAGATGACCACAGTGATGTGGGAGATGCAGGTGGAGAGGGCTTTTCTCCTCCCTTCAGCACTGTGGTTCCTCAGAGAATGCAAGATGATAACATAGGAAGACATCAACATGACAAAACTCACTGTACAGATGGCCCCACTGTTGGACACCAAGAGGAGATTGACCATGTAGGTGTCTGTACAGGCAAGTTTCAACAAGGGCTGAAAGTCACAGAAATAGTGATCAATCACATTGGGACCACAGAAAGGTAAACTCAAGGCCAGAAAAATCTGTGCTGAAGAATGCACAAAAGACCCAACCCAGGCCACAGCCACCAACACACTGCAGACCCTCCGACTCATGATGGTCACATAGTGCAGGGGCTTACAGATGGCCACATAGCGGTCAGCGGCCATGAGGATCAGGATGAAGATCTCCAGGCTGCCAAAGTAATGCAAAGAAAAGACTTGTATCATGCACTTATTGAAAGAGATAGTGGTCTTCTTCAAAAGGGCATCCACAATCATTCTGGGGGCAATGGAGGTAGAGAAGCAGGTATCAGATAATGATAAGTAGAAAAGGAAGAAGTACATTAGACTCCCAAGTGCCCGGATGGTCTTGATGGTAGTAATAATCAGCAAGTTACCTACTAATATTCCCCAATAGAAAAGCAAGAAAGTGACAAACACTATTTTCTTCCTAACAGGATCCTGGGTCAACCCAAGCAGAATAAACTCAGTCACATTGTTGTTCAGCTGCATGATTTCATGAATGAAGAGAAGGGATGTGTGTGGATTGAATAACCTGCAAAAATAAAGAAATTAAACTGTAGTATGCAATCAGTTATTATGAAATATTTTAAGGAAAATCAAGTATTCTTTATCAGGTACTTTCTACCTGTGATTTCTTATTGTCATTTCAGTAAATACTCTGTTCCACAATTTTTAATGACCAATTCTTTGGGTGCTATGAGTCTCAAATAAGTTTGTTAATGTAATAATTTCTTACAGCACTTTTTAAATACAACCCCTCATTAGCTTTTAAATTCTGATAATTTTGTCAATTTAGCAAATATAAAATTCAGAGATATCCCATTTTATAATTTCCTTCAGTATTCTCATTTTAATAAATCTTGGTACATTTATGCATGGTATACCACTTGGCATTTAGTAATACCTGACTGTTCTGGTAGGTTCATGAATAATAAACTCATGCACCACTCCAAAAAGGAAAAATATGCATTCTTTGTACATTCATTTATATATTATGTATCATTAAATATTTACTCAAGTGTGTATTATTTAGAAGTAAGGAGTGTGGTTACTTCTTCAAAAAACTACCCTTACATATATTTTCTTTCCCTTAATAAATTTTCGTCTCTTCAAAAGAGTTGAAATGTCTCTTGTCTTCCTTCACATAAAAAAACAACTCCTGGGAAAATGTCTGATGAACATATTTACATTTTAGTGCCAAAGATAAAAATGTCTTTTTGGACTTTGTGATCTTGGACAAAGATCTAAAATGGTAAGAAGAGTGAGTCTTGGTATCTTAATCACTTACTTCTTTCCCTAATATTCCAGCTTGAAAGGAGGAACAGGAAACATGGAGCCTTTAAATAATCTGCTGAAACCTTCAAGCATGACTGAGATCTTAGTTCTTAAAAAATACTAATGGACAGAGATCAGCTCTTTGATGGTCGTTAGTATCTCAAATATCCCCACTTCTATTTGTCTTTCTTTAATCTCTGAAAACCACATCCAGAGCAATCAGAATTTCTGTAGTTACCTTTCCAAATTACAACGGAGATATAAGCTAATAGTTTAAATTTTCACAAGTCAAATTTTTAGTTTAAGCATTTAGATTCAGAGTGGTTGAGTCAGTGTTTCACAAAGCAGATTGTGTAGGAGCAGGTCATGATGGAGCTCTCCAAACTACACATTCAAGGAACAGAACAGAGAAACAGAAACGGAAGTGAGATGCGGTTTTAGAAAAAGGCAAAGTAGGTATCAGTAAGTGACTTCTTGATTAATTTTTTTCTGTCTTAGAACAGTCTATGGAATTTTGAAATATCACTTCTTTCAATGAAAATGTCTTTTTTAAAATTTGAAAAAAGATATTATTATGACCCTCATTTCCAAGAACAAAACCTTTTCTCCAGATATTTCTTGCCAAGTTGATGTTAAAAGAGACACTGCATGCAAGTAAAAACAAACTGAAGTGTGATGCATGTAAACGTAATCTGAAATACTCACTTACCCTATTGTCTTCCTTCTCAGTCTCACCCATGCCTCAAATATATTGTCTTACAAGTTGTGAGTTGACCAAAATTCAGCTTATGATAGATTCCAAAGACACAAAATTATCCTTGTATATATTTTCTTTCCCTTAGTAAATTTTCATCTCTTCAACAGAGTTGAAATGTCTCTTGTCTTCCTTCACATAAAAAACAACTCCTAGGAAAATGTCTGATGAAAGTATTCACATTTTAGTGCCGAAGATAAAAAAGTCTTTTTGGACTTTTTGATCTTGGACAAAGATATAAAATGGTAAAAAGAGTGAGTTTTGGTATCCTAATCATTAGAATGAGCTTATTCTCTCCTTTATTCATTTAAATGAATGTTGCAGCATAAACTGTTTGAACTTGAAAATATGGTAGGCGCTGGAGCAAGAGGATTGGAGAGTCTCTATCACCCTGTGAGTCTGTAATTTTGACTACCTCCTGAGAGTAGTTTTGGTTTGGATGTAACCAATTCTATTAGCTTGTCCACTTATAGGACAAAGCTATCTCTTTCACCTCTGGACATATATAGTTAAAATAAATTAAGGGTAATAAATGAATATAATTTAGTTAACATTAATTATTTTGAATTCTCATCAAATATTCAATAAATAGTTTCATGATGATATTAAAGGCTTACACCACAGTTTGTAGTTATAAAGCCCATTTCTATCTATTCATGTTCAAAATAATCCAGACTATCTTAGTTATATATTTATTAATTTCTCTGAAAAGTAGTCTCCCTGGCCTCAAGTCCACTTCAGGAATTCTTTTTCTATTAAACAAAAGGATTTTAAATCTACTTTTGAGTCTATAATATGACATGTTCTGGAAAAAGGAGAATACAATCAAATCAATAAATATTTATTGAAGCCTGTGTATAAACAAGGTATATTTGAATACACTGGGAGCTTACAGACATTAGCAAATAAGCCAGATGGGAGCTCTGTAGTGGACATAATGTAGTTGCCAAGTATTAACATAAATAAGTAGGCGTAGGCATCCAAACTCTTCTGAACTGCTCCAGTTTTCCTGAAATGCCTCCTGTTCCTGCTGCTTTCCCTTCCTGTGAACTTTAGGGCCCAACTGCTGAGAAACTCCCCTGCATGACCTTCAGTGATGGCCTGTGAGAAGGAAAATCCATTCTCCTGCTCCCTTAGGTATTTATTGTTTTGAAATTATATTAAGAGCATTCTCATACAACAAAAATATTTTTCAGTTCAATACTTTCCTGGAATTAGAATACTGGAAAGTTCTAGTCCCAGAATTTTATTCTCCACATTTCTACCTCAATGCCTTGTACTTTGGAAATTGATCAGTAGAGCTTTTAAGTTGAATATTCTCCACTACCACTTAAGATGTGATCGTATTTCTCTAATTGTTGTACTATACCTATTATAAATGACCTTAACAGCATGAACTACTGAAGCCTTCTGTTTATTGTGTATGATACAGAGGCAGACATTCTCATAATAATACATCCTTGTAATATAAAATTGAGACAAATTTTATTAGCTTTTTAATAGTTGTAATATTTATGTACAGGAAGTAACAGAACAGCAACACCACATTGGCACCGAAAATCAACACCCCTAATAGTGATAAGCTTAAAGCACTTTTTTCATGAATGTAGGCCAGTATATGTGCAAAAAACACCATTTTCCATATCCTTCTAATACTGATTTAGTTTTTATGGATGTGGTCTAGGATCACATTTCCATTTTTTTTCGAGAAAAGTGCTAACACGTTACATGAAGGTCTCAATGGAATCTGACACTGAAATGAGTTACAACAATCTGAAGACAAAGTAGCACAAGTCACATAGCACATATTCCAAAAACTGCTGTACTCAGCTCAACTATTCAGACAAGATAACTTTAGACAGAATAATTTGTTAAATCAATGATATGAGAAAATGTGTTGTTTGAGGTGGGTGGGTAACAAAGAAGTACTGAAGGAAAAGCAGGTAGGAAAAGGTAAATAGATGAGGGAGATAAGTAGTGTAGGTTCTCCTCCCATGTTTCTATGTTTTATGGAAGATACTACGGTGGGAAACCGCTTTCCTTAGTTACTACCTCTTAAACTGCCCTTCCCTCCTGGTTGAGTCATACTAGATTTCTATCTTTGGGAGAATTCGTATTTTCACTGTATTTTTATGCAGAATGTATCATTAAGTGTGGGAATGTTAACAGTTCATGCCAAGATTCGTCATCCCTCAAAATCCAAAATTAAACAGTAATTGACTTAGTCTCCTTGAAGTCCTTACTCAGGGTAATGGAATCATATGATCTCTGCTTATCTCTTCAGGACATGCCCTGGAAAACAGTTTAACCTGAGATCAAAAAAGTCATCATAAAACTCAATACCCTTTACTTTTATCTGGTTTCCCCAAATCACATCAAATTAATATTGCCAAAACCTATTAAAATCACAAGATTTGTGGAGGAACAGGGTGGATAAGATCACGTATGGAAAAACATTGGGCAGGGACAAATACTAATGAAAAGTATTTTTACCCAAAATATTTTCAGGAGCTCCCTATCACATGTATGTCATGTCATCTTTCAGGATTTAAGATCCCCATTGTCATCTTTCCTCTGAGCTTTCTCTGATAAGTAGTTATTCTGCTTTCAAATTAAATCTCAGAAGTGTGTCAATTTCAGATTATATTCTTACAATACCATTTGAGAAGACACAGGAGGCTATAATTATATAGCCTGATACAGAAATTATATTCAAAGCTTTCTCCTGGAGATGGAAAATCTGGAATTGTCCAGAAGTCACATGAAGTTCACTTCCTCCATTAAATTTGCATAATTTGTAACCAAGCACGAATTTTTCTACCTTTCCAGTACCCATAACTCTTAGTGAGGACTTTTCTTGTCATGCTACCTTGCTTCAAAATCATTGATGAACTTGTCTACACTTTGCCATTTCTAGAAACCACAATAAGCCTTAATACCTCCTCTATCCCTACTTCCAATGTTGGTTTTCATATACCTGGTGCTCATAAAAGACCCTGATTTCAAGGCATCATTTTTGCCAGACATATCTTCAATTTCTTTCCTATATTAACAGTAAATCTTGAAAACCTTGGGTTGTTTTTTTTTCTCCCACTTCTATTCCTTTCTCAGAGTGTAGGGGAACAGTGTGGTCAAAATAGATATGAAAATATATTATAAAATTATGTTTATTTTTTTAATGATTCCTCTCTGGGTAAAAAGATGGAGATGATCTGCCACTTACCTGTTGGAAGACTCTCTGAATCAGTGTAAAGTCTGACCATCCTTTTTTGATACTGGCCACTTCACAGAACACTGAGAAAATATGTTTTTGTCTACATTCCTTAGGGGGAATAGCTTAAGAAATAATGATGTAAGTTTTTGAAATCCTAGAGAGGATTATTCCCTAATGTTTTCCTTCCTTTGTGTCAGAAACATCTTATATATGATAAACTTAACTTTTTGTTGAATAGTGGATAGG